TTTCATTCTACGTAATGCCTCACGTACCTCCACCACACTTACATTCTGCTCTTCTTCACTCCTAAAAGATGGTATACCCCTGGCCAGTGCATGAAATTACCGCCTCCCTTTCTTCCTCAACATTTAAAAGTTCCTCAAAATATTCTCGCCATCTACCTAATACCTCCCTCTCCCCATCTACTAACTCCCCTACTGTGTTTTTAACTGACAAATCCATACTTTCCCTAGGCTTTCTTAACTTGTTTAACTCACTCCAAAATTTTTTCTTATTTTCATTAAAATTTCTTGACAGCGCCTCTCCCACTCTTTCATCTGCTCTCCTTTTGCACTCTCTCACCACTCTCTTCACCTTTCTTTTACTCTCCATATACTCTGCTCTTCTTATAACACTTCTGCTTTGTAAAAACCTCTCGCATGCTACCTTTTTCTCTTTTATCACACCCTTTACTTCATCATTCCACCAATCACTCCTCTTTCCTCCTGCCCCACCCTCCTATAACCACAAACTTCTGCCCCACATTCCAATACTACATTTTTAAAATTTCCCCCCTTTCAACCCCCCCAACATCTTTGAATTTAGCCCCCCCTTTCTCCCAAAAGTCGTTTATCTCGCCCGAATTCCCTTTCCCCCTTAGTTTATACACTTTCACCTCCTCTTACTTGTTGTTGCCACCTTCCTTTTTTCCCCCATTTTCCTTTACTCAAAACGTAGTAAAATTAAAAAATGACCCGATTATAGTTGCCCCTCTTAAACTGTACACCCTGGAGCCTCCCCATAAACCCTTTTTACCCACCAATACATAATCTAACAAAACTTTCTTTATATAAAGCAACCACTGATAATATGGTGTACAAAAAGCGCTTGGAATTTCTCTATTTTTCACAGTGGTTGTTTTGATTTCTAAAAATCCCCTGTTTTTACTGTGATTTATTGCATGATGCAATAAATATTATATATATTATATATTAATATTATATATATATTATATATATATATTTATATAATATATATTATATTATATATGTATATTTAGTATATATATATTTTTATATTTATAAATATTTTATAATAATTTATATATATATATATATTTATAATATATATTATATTATTAGAAGATGATAGATAATACAAAAATACATACATACATAAAAAAAATACATACAGACACAGTGGCCCTAAACCCAGCGATGGCATCGATTAACGTAAATCTGATAGCGAAATTTTAAGAAAAATTTTTTGCCCAACTGCGTTTTTAAAAACCGCCAGCCCCATTCATTCCATACCATAGGTCCCCCTTTGCCTGAGGGCCCCTACTTGTCCCTTGGTGCAGTGTTTAAAAGCCCCCAGCCACGTGGTCGTTTCCCCAAACATCAACAATAAAACTTTTCATATTATCCACCCTTTTAGTGATTGCACCTGCAAAATAAGTCCCCATGGGCCCCAAAGAAAGCTCTAGTGCCAACCCCACAGCAAAAAGGGTGAGAAGACTATGGAGATAAAAAAGAGATCATTGCTAAGTTGAAAGTGGGTGGTGTCTCTGAGCTGGTCAGGGTTTTATAAAAAAACCCCCTCAACCATCGTATATTGTGGGGAAGAAAATGGGAATCAAGGAAGCTGTTTTGCAAAGGTGCAGTGTGCTGACCCCAGTAGTGTTGTTGGGTTTCTGCATACCATAGCTGTATTACTCGAAGAGTGGGGGAGTGTTGTTGGTGTGGTTTAAGTGAAACAAATTTCCCAGAAACGTTAACCCCAGAGGGTAGGTTTAATAAACCCCAATCAACCATCTTTATTTGTGGGAAGAAAGGCAATAAGGAAGTGTTCTTGCCCAAAGGTGCAGCGCTGTGCCCCACAGTCAGTGTTGTTGTTTCTGCACCCATCGCTGTATTCTCGAAGATGTGGGGAGAGTGTTGTTGGTGTGGTTAACGGTGAAACAATTACCCAGAAAGATTTACCCCGGGAGGGTTAGCCACCCCGGATAACCAAAAAAGTCGTCATCATCGAGGGGCTGTTAAAAATTATTTCCCTTGGGTGTCCTTAATCTTTCCCCAGGATGGACCCCAAAAAGTTTACTAAAACCCCGGGGAACGGGGGAAAAAAAGCCCGGAAAATAGTGCTAATTTGGGGAGGTTGTGGGGAGGTGTGGGAAAAGTTGGTGGGGAGGACAGTGAAGAAAAAACCCTGTGAGCTGTAGGCATCTTCACAGAAGAGGCACACCTGAGGAAATGCTTTGGAGGAGGGGAGAGGAAATTGAAGAAGTTGCCCACTTCAAAAATTAAGGAAATGTGTGCAATGTGGCAAAGTGCAAATTTTTTGAGAAAAACACCCCCACACGCTATTTCAAGCTTGCTGGTTTTATACTGACAATGTTGTGAAACACTTTAGGATAAAGGAACGAGAGGTACAGGCCTCTGTGGACAGATATGTTGTGCGACAGAAGTCCAGTGACTTTGAAGCTGGTCCTAGTGGCATTAAAAGAACAAGGGAAGTAACCCCAGA